CCTCCCTGACCCGCCGAAAAAGAAAGTAGATAATGGCACGATTAGCGAGGAGTCTCCTGGCGGCTTTTTGGGGATGATTGCACAGGGCCGTTGACTGCCGGCGACGCTGGAAGCGGCCGACAGATGACGCTGATGGGCTGAACGGGCTCGCAGATCACCTATTGTTGGTGGCGTATGCTGACTTGCACGCTTAAACGAGGACCTTTATGAAGATTTGGCTGCTGATGAAACAGAGCGCAGGCTTGACTGTTATAGCTTCTGCGACTGTTCTCAGACCAGTTTAACTTTTGCTGACATTAAAAGTAAAACAAAGCTCCGTGGTTTCTGGTGATATCTCCATGTCTGGTGGGTTCCTGTGGGTCGTTTCACTTTCATCATTCATATGCATCACTCGGGTCAGATCTCATAAGAAGACTGGTTTCTGATACGACATTGTACCCTGTTGCTGACGTCCCACTTTGGATACTTCGTAACTGCACGGCAGCAGACGAAACTAATGTGCCGGATACATATGTAATACTGGGCGGAAACGTTTTCATCAATGACATCGCAAGTTAATTGCATTGCGCTCAGGGGCCCACCACACAGACAAACGATAAACAGCTGAGTGATGTTTGAACAATGCTGAATTTAATTCCTCATTAATGCACCGCCCGGCGGCTGTCTTACCCTCGGCCCATCGGCTGGGCGGCGCTGTGTCGAACGGCCGGCGCCCCGCGCCGCCTCGTACACCGGGTCACGTGACCACGTCATCGTCCACTCATCTGGGAGGGTGACGGGGCAGAAGGCGGCTCCATTCATCAGCCCACTACCGGGCCGGCGCTGGCCGAAGCCGCCGCCACCGGCACCGAATGGGGCAAGACCGCAAGTGCGCGGTGCGCAGGACTTCAGTGCTCGTCGCGCCGCGTTCCGCGTCGGATTTGTGCTTGCTCGTCTCTGTCACTACGGGTGCCGACGTGAGTGGTCTCGGACAGAGGCGTGTGCGTCGTGAGAGTGTGGTGTAGACGTGGGGTGGCTAGAGAACGGGTAGACTGCCGGAGCTTCATGACGTCATGCACCTTATTCGGCTTGCAGGGCTGGAGAACAGCTATGACCTGCAGACGTCCCAGTATGCACGTTGCATTTGTATGAGTGCATACGTCGGAGTCTGCATGCCTGCAACTATAGACAGATGACGTGCATGTCCGTGGCAGCTGTACCAAAAAAAAGACGTCGTGTTCCGGTGCAGCTGCTTTTGTCGAGATGTTTAAAAGTCAGCAGGCTTTATCGAATGCATATCGCAAAACGAAACGACGCTTGCTCCGAACACCCCAATGTAAAACGCACTTGCCGCACGTCCGAAGCTTAGGTTTACAGGGACCGTCACGCACCATCAGACGCGTGCGTGACACCAAAGTGACGTCAGTGCGTGTCAGTTCCACGTCCGCGTCAAAGCACGTCACGTCCGCGAATGTCAGGGCTGCTGGTGGCGGAGCCCGGACCGCTGGCAGCGCGGAGGAGGCCGAGGCGGCCGGCCAGCGCCAGCCGCTGCAGCCGGCGACGACAGCGCGGGTCAAAGCCCCGGTAACTGCCGACAGTAACGAGCTCCTGCCTCCGGCCGGCCACTTACGCCACGGATGATAGAGTATCGACGTGGCCAGGTGGTCTGCCGACCACCGGCAGGGGACGCGCCGTCCGGCCGTCGGCATTTCACAACGCTCCGGGTCGTCTCACGGCGGCTGAGAAACGACCCCGGCGCCGCCGAGGCCGGAGAGCGGGTCCGCCGCCGCCGACTGCGCCGTAACGAAACCGACGGGCACGGGGCGGTCCCGCTGCGCCGAAAACGCCCGGTTACGCCCGATTTGAGAGGCGTGGCTGGTGTCGCGTCTCAGTCGGCGCGCTCCGCCCGCTTTCGATCGCACGGGAGAGCAGCGCGAGACAGATCGACGAGAGCTCGGGAGTGTCGCGAAGGGCGGCGCTGGCCGGCGCGGCCGCCCCTCGCGCGTGACCTCTCAGCTCGGCTGGTGCCGGGTCGGGGAGGCGGCGCGCTCGGCTGGCCACGCGCCTCCGCCCGAGCCCGGGGGCGGCTCTGATTGCCGACCAAGTGGGCTCGGTTCCGGGCGGCGGCGGCGGCGGCGGCGGCCCATGAGCCGGGCCGCTCCGCACCTGGTCTGCCGGCGGGGCCGTCAACCCCCGGCGGCGGCCGACAGCCCCGCCGCACCGCAGCGCATCCGCCCGGCGGCGGGCGGGGGCGGCGGCTGAGGGCGGGACGTCCGCACGCCCCAGGCACGAAGTCGCTCGGTCGATAACGCACAGCCACACACGGAGGAGCGATGACCTGCGTTCTCGCTGCCAGACGCCGCAACGGCGTTCGGACCGCTGGATGGCGTTCCGGAAATCGGAAAAGCAGTTGCGCGCTGTTGATCGAACTTGTTTGGAACACCTGCGAGATGCGCCGTTCGATCGCGAAGGAGCGAGAAAGAGGTGTCATAGCACAGCGGCGGCTATTTAGGGAAGCGTTGGCTGCAAACGGACCATGCGTGGCCCTTTCAGAAGACCGCAATTTAAAAGTTACATCCATTGTACCTGTGACAGCTGCGAAATCCGCTGCCCACCTGTCGGCTAGGAGCATCACTTGGCACCTGGGAACCCCATGTTTACCAAACGGCCTGAGGTGCGCTCGGTGCGTGCGGTCCCACGGTCCGAGCGATAACGAACAGTGACGGCGGTGATTCCGGAAACGTGCCGCAAATGTTCTGACCAATGAGATAGATGGGCCGAGGAGGAAGTGAATTATGGATTGTAATGCATTTAGCGTATAATAATAGCCACAGAACGGCCGAAGCAGCTAAGATTGATTTGAAAAGCCACGGTTGGAGTGTGATGAAAGCCAAGGCATTACATGCTTGGTGACATCCCGAATTGTCGCCCATCACAACATTTCGTAAAACCATTATTGATTCAAGAAGTGTGACCAAAGAAACCGCGAATTGTGTGTCGCACCTGAACGAATTTGGTGACAAGTATTTTGACAATCACCGCGTGAAAAGCAATGCGTTATCGAAATGAAGTAGACCACGCTCAAATTGTTTCCATTTGTTGTAAAATGTTAATGGTGTGCCTGGAAATCCACCCGATAAACGTGAGATAAATGAGAGTAACTTGCTGTCTGAGTTGGGTCCCGTTGAATCATCTTGGTTCGTTCTTTGAATGGTTTAAGTCTTTCAAATGACAGAGCGATAAAGCTATCTATCCAGGCGAATGCCTATTTTAACGAGAGAAAACTTTGGCAGCCACCGTGCCCTGAGCCAGACCCGTACCCTGCTACGCCGTTACAATGCCCGGGGACGGCGTGGGAATCCAAGGCAGCTAAGTATTGGTCTGACAGCTGAGCATGGTCGGTGTTCGTTCGATCGGCTGCTGTTGCGTTCCATGCCTGGCTGTGCTGCGGTGAAGGGGGCAGAATAATGGAGTGTGGGTAATTACTCGATTTAAAACACGCGTTATTGTGGCCTGTCCAGTAACGTTCAATGTGTTTGAGGGTAGGATTGGACAATGCGATAAATGGGACTGCTTTGTCAAAACTCACTGAATGACTTCGCATTTTGCTGCGCTCAGTAGGCATTTCTAGTAGCTGTAAAAAAAAACATACTGATTGAATTCCTTGGTGATCAGTAACAACGAGACCCTAGCCAGGAAACTAGCTTGGACGAATCGGAACAGTGGATTGACATACGTCTTAAAAGATCCGTTTAAAAGCACTATCTCATGCAGTGAACTTAAACAGCGCGCCTGAGCACCCACCGCCGTTCAGAAGCGCTCGCGGCAAACGCGTTGGTACAGCGTCGCCCATAATGGCCCAAAGCGCTGAGACCGAGCCACAGTATCGCTCCACAAGAAACGTCAACGACGGAACACACCGAGAGCCGCTCCCGGCGCGTTTGTTTTAGCGCCGTCACGCGCAGCCGCCGCGGCGACGACACTCCACCGTCACGGGCCCGGCGGGCGTCGTCACGGCCGAAACCCATACAGCCCCGGCGCGCCAACCGCACGCGGCTCACGCGAACGCCAGCTGGCGGCGCGCGCGCGCTGCGCGTGACCGCCCGCGCGCCGGTGTTTGTCGCGGACGCGGCGGCCTGTTGGGCAAGGCGCCCCGACCTCCGGCCGACGGTCGGTGACGTCACACTCGCCGGTCAGCGAGAGGCGCCGCCCGCCGCCAGTCATCGTCTGACCATTGGCGTCAGCGGCCGGCCCGTCGGCGGCGACGGAGGCGGTGACGTCACCGGCCGCGATGGCGCAGCTTGAGAGCGGAGGTTCTCGCAGCACGCCGACGCCCGTGCTCGGCGCTCGCCGGTCGCCGCGCCACCCCGCGCGACGAACGTGACACCGGCTCGATGACGTCACCGCTGGTGCGTGACGTCGACGCGATGGCGTTACGAGGCCAGGCGTGAACCTGTCCATCCGTAAACGGACGCTTGGATTGGGCGTGATGCGCGCAAGTGGGCCATTGGTCCTGGTCGTTAGTTCGGTGTCTTTCGACACGTCTTGAGTTAGAGGATAGAACGCCGGCACAGTGAATCGCACTGATTTTCATTGCAGCACGCCAGTTATTTATGACGAACCTAGAATAATTATCAAAACATCGCAATCCCTCACAATTATAGGGCGGTGTGGTACAGTGATAAGGGCACTTGGCTCTGGACGTGTTGGTCCTGAGTTCAAGTCCTTGCCACGCCTCTACCACATCCCACGTGATACCTAATGCAGGCATCCTACCTCTAGATGGCCCTGCCAGTCGGCAAGACATAAAGCTCCAATCAGTATTCATCTCTGCTTAGGCTTGGATAGGGGGAGGGGCAGTCAGCAGCTGTCAGGGGCGGTCAGGGGCGGTCAGCAGCTACGGGCGGCCACCGCCACCACCACCGCTCAGCGTCTGTATATGTCTCCTCAGCAGAGTGCGGTCAGCAGCTGCGGGTAGCCGCCGTCACCACCACCAATAGCGTCTGTGTCTGTCTCCTCAGCAGATCTCGGTCAGCAGCTGCGGCCGCTCGACATGGGAAACCAGCAGTCGCATGGAGCCGAGCCGGGCTCGGCGTGGGTGCGCTCGTTGCCCCGGGACCGCTCGGGCCGGCTGCTCACCTACGGCAGGCCGGCGCTCCCGCCGCCGTCCGTCCGGGTGAGTAGCCGCGGCTTCGGAGCCGCACGAGTCGGGGCCCGGGTGAGTAGCCGCGGCTTCGGAGCCGCGTGGGTCGGCAATGAGCTGGTGTAACCTGGCGAGGTGTTTTTTCCGTATGTGCGTGATCAACTAAGCACGGCTTAATTAGCAGCAACGTGTGGGAGGGAGCTCGACGGGCGGAGAAGAACAGTGCTCTTGGCGCGGCGAGGGCTCGTGTCGTTTTGATGAGTGGCCTTCGGAGAAATGTCAGCGGTGTGGGAGTGGGCATTGGACTTCTTGTACAGCTGCCAGATTGCCACGTCGTGGGTAAGGAAGAAGACATTAATCTGAACATTCGGCTCGGTTCTCATGCATTCCGGTTCTTCCGATATCGCTGCCATAATGCCTTGTTCGTTTGGGAACTACTGTCACCCAGCCGCTGCAAAAAAATGGTGGAAGCTTTAAGGCACTGTTTCCTGTCGATCACATACGACCCGTTTTTGCCTCTGGATCATCCCGTTACCTCCCGTTTATGAGCTGATGAAGCTCAGAGTGGAAGTCCGACCGGTCTCCGGTTTCAGCCCGGCTGGCTTTCTCCCGGTCCCACACGCCTCTCCAATACTCCTAAATCAAACAGCGCTGACGCGATCTGGACAGCTCCGGAGGCCTCCAGCCGTACCGCGTCCATCAGCGCCCGTACAGTGGGTGCCCGACACCGTCCTCCGACCCGGCCGAGCGGCGGCACGGCCGGAGAAACCGTGCCGTCGCCCGACAATGGGCCTCCGACGAGCCGCCACTCCCGGGACACTGTCCGTCGGCGGCGGCGGACGGCGCCCCGCACACACGCCACCGTCCCTCCTGCGGAGGCCGCGCTACAGACGGGATCAAACGTCGCCCTCGGACCGACGCCGGCTTTGTGTGGGAGGAAACGCCGGCCCGCCCAGATCGCCGGGATAGCCGTGGACGCAGAACGCGGCGGCAGAACGCGGAACGCTAATGGCGAGGCGTTCGCCCCGCCGTGGGCTACGACGCGAGCTCTCGCGTGTTTGTGCGCTCAGTGGCGGGCTGGAGAATGGCACCGGGGTTGGGTGCGTGACTGAGATTGTGACTGCGCGCCATCATCGCGCTTTAACTCGTTCGGACGCTCACCCACCGGAAACGAAGCCCGCAGCTGACAAACACGCACGTAATGCAAGCCTGGGGGAGTCGCCCGACCTTCCTTCCCCGTGTCTGCTGGGATCTCGTCACGCAGTCGACACGGCGCCGCGCGAGCGGACCGCCAAAAGCCACGCCGTCACCCCGCCGCCGTCGTCGCGTCGGCGCGGCCCGTCCTGTGAAATCGCCGGCGGCCCAATTCACGAGTCACGGGGTCATGGGAGCCGGGCCGGATGACGCACGGGCGGGCGACCCCATTAGTCTTTCATCACCTCGATGAATGACGCGCCGCGCCCGCCTCCCTAATCCGCAAATCCGTCGTCGACGGCCGACTTCGGACCGAAAAGCAAACGGCGCGCGCGGCCGGTTTATAATCGGCACGTCCCGCTGGTCAGGTTCGGACGTCGCACTCGGTCACCGGAGCAGCGGTGCAGACCCCGCCGGCCGCCGACCAACGGGTGGGAGCGAAATGGCACACACCGACACAGCCGCATTCCCGGCCCTTTTACTGTTGAGAGCCTGTTCGCACGTAAAGAATGCGCCCGTAGTGGGACGGCAAGGGCTCAGCGCGGCGACGGCTTTCCCTGTGATTGTTTTGTGTCTGTGTACCAACTCAGTCTGCTGCGAAACCGACACTGTCCAACAGAACTCGTGCCCCGGTATTTCAAGCAGTCTCTGTCATGTTTCCGAGCATGCACCAAGCATTTGATCGCCGCCTGCTTGCAAAATGCAAGCTTTTCCCGCAAACATAATTCAACAAGCACTGCCATCCCTGACAAGGCTACAAATAAGGTAAAGGCAGGAAGCGAAGTCTGCCGATTGCGAACCAACGTCGATTCACAAGCAAGCCGCCAAGCGTGGACAGACTCAGCAGGCCCTCCTCTGGGGACAGGGGCAGGCCACCGCGTGCTGACGCCTCCTCCTCGTCCGCAGGTGCGGCCTGACCGGGTGCCCGGCCAGCGGCTGCAGGTGTCGACCAGTCTGCCGGCCGAGGGTGGCCCCAGCACGCCGCCGCCGCTGCAGAGGTGAGCCGGGCACCGCCTGACCCGGCCCCGACGGCCGCCACTGGTCCGGCGCCGCTGCTCGGGTCGGGCGCCGCCACTCGTCCGGTGCCGCTGCTCGGGCCTGGCACCAGGGTCGGACCGGGCGTCTCTGCTCGGGCCGGGCGCCGCTGCCCGGGCCGGACGCCGCTGCTCGGGTTGGGCGCCGCTGCTCGGGCCAGGCGCCAGGGTCGGACCGGGCGTCACTGCTCAGGCCAGACGCCGCTGCTCGAGCCAGGCGCCAGGATCGGACCGGGCGTCACTGCTCGGGCCAGGCGCCAGAGTCGGGCCGGGCGCCGGCCGGCCGCCGGCGGACCTGCGTGCGGGTCACGGTCATGGGGGCCGCTGCCCGCCGCCTCCATGTCCTCTTCGGCGTATTGATTACGCCGCTATGAGCCTGTAGAAAACGTGCTGTGTCGGTACCGACGGAGGCGGCTGTCATGACTGCTTGGGAGCTGGGTGGTTGGTCACTCGCACGATGCTATGATATTTGCAGCACCATTTGTCACCATTATCAGACAGTTTCCCGGACCCACCTAGAACCAGACAAGAATAGCGCAGCATGATAAAATAACAGGCGTAGATGACGTGTAACCAGTAACTCACCCAAACATAAATTAGTGGTAGAACTTCCTAATGGCCGCTCCATGGCAATCACGGCCGATTAGGTGACTTGCGTTGAGCCCACCAGGGAGCATTGACGTTTACGCTTCACCACTTGCACTCCCAGAGAAAGAGCGCCATGCCATCCGCAAGACATCTATTTAGGCCTCGTTTGATCTATGTGAGGCGTGCACCGCTCCCATAACACTCTGCACGGCCGCGCGCAGTTTGCAGAGGAAGAAAACGCACCGAGTTTGAGACAATTACAGCTTTCACGGCCAGGCGAGGCCGCCGAGACGGCCGCGAGAGGCGCTAAAACATTCCGAAGGAAATCACCGCAGCTCGCCGCCGCACGGATTGCGGTGTGCAGAGAAAGTGACTGACGATAAGCTATGAATAAAACATGGCCGTTGGAAATCACTCGTGAGATTAATTGGCCACCGGTAGACTAAGGTGCGGCGAGAGATCGCCAGCACCGTGCCAATCGATATGTCCAGCGCCGAGAAGCGCCTCTCACCGGCCGCGCCACGGGAGCCCGGGGTCGGGGCCGGCAGCTGCAGGGCCACGCGCCGCGGCGGCCCCGCCCGCCGCTCCAGCGCCGGCATGTCGCCGCGCCACGTGACGCTTCTCCGGAAGCCGCGCGCGATTAATCACGGCTTCGCGCCGGTCACGTGACCTCGCCGCGGCGCCGGCGCCCGAGGCGCTCTCCGGCCGGCCGGCAGCGCGGTTCCGCCGCCAGGGGACGGCTCAATCGGCCGGCGCCCGCCACGCGTGATGGAGCCATTTCCGCGCACGTCGGCCGCTGATGGGGCGCTCACACCGCCGCCGGCCGTCGGGGCCTGTCTGGCGGCGGCGGCGGGCGGTGCTCGTGAGCCGCGACCGCCGCCGGGCCGCGCCTCATCGCACACCCGGTCACGGCGCGCTCCCAGGCCGGGTCTGCATCGCGGCCGTGGTTGCCCGAGCGGCGCGCGGGCCCGATGCCGCCGTGATCTATGGCGAGCGCGTCTGGCGCGTCCGCCGCGTCACGCACGGCGCATTGCAGACTGCATAATGCACGCCCCGCGCGAGCCGAGTGTGACGGGCACGCTCTGTTGCAGGTCCGCGCCGCAAGGGCGCAGCGAGAGTCGCCTGACGCGCGCGGAGGACGAGGACTACGACGAGGAGGGGGCGCCGCCGACGCACGGCAGCGAGCCGGACCTGCGGGGCGCGACCGGCCGGCGTCGGCTCGGCCGCGTCCCGGCCGTGCGCGGCCGGCCGCGCACGACGCCGCCCGAGCTGACGCTGCCACCGCCGCCGGGCGAGCCGCCGCCGCCGGTGCCGACGTCGGAGCGGCCGGCGCCGCCGCGGGGCGCCGGCCGCCGCCGCTTGTACAGGCCGCACCACGCCCAGCGCCGGTTGGCGGCGGTGTGCGCGCCGCCGCCGGCGCGAGCAGCCTCGGAGGAGCGGGGCCGGCAGGCGCGGCCCGGCGGTGGCGGCGGCAATGCGCGCGCCCGCAGCGTCGACTGCCTGCAGGCGGCACTGCGGGACGGCGAGGACGACCGGCGGCAGGCCTTCGGCAGCCTGCCGAGGGCTCACGTGGCGCACGAGATGACGGAGAGACGCCCTGCGGGCGGCGGGAGCTCGCCACAGGACAGCGGCCTGGTGCGATCCAGAGCCGCCTGCCGCAGCGAGGGGGCGCTGCAAGCGGTGCGTGACTGGCCGACCCAGCTAGAGGCAGAACCGCAGCGTGTGGAGCTGCCGCAGACGGACGACTGGGAGAGCAACAAGATCAAGATCACCGTCAGCAGTAGCACGGACGCCATCCAGGTGGGGAACAGCGCGGAACAGAGCAGGCCCAAGTTGATGTACTTTGGCATGTCGCCTTCGGCGGAGAGACACGAGTCGGAAGACGGCAAGGTGTCCGCCTTGGCGAAGGTAAAGCGGAACGCGGAGGTGAGCATCAACGGCTCCCGCGTCAGCTACCGCAAGCCCGCCGAGGACGACCACCCGGCGAGCGGCTCAGGCAGTCGCATTTCCTCCCCGAGCGCTGAATCGGCCCCAGCCCGGCCCACCAATCTCACGCGCATCCCGACGCAGAAGCTGACCGACTTCGTCAGCTCCCTGGAGCGCAGCAAGAGGCGCCAGCTGTCGGCCAGCCGCGAGGAGATCCTGACCGGCTCGCCGGCGCGTAGCTGTCGCTCCCAGTCGAGCGTGCTCGACGTCGAGCTGCAGGTGGGCACGGTCGAGTCAATCTCGATGCGCCTGCGGCCGACGCCGGCGCGGAAGCAGCAGCAGGTGCCGCGCTTCTCACCGCTCGCCGCCTGGCGCAGTCTGCACCTGGAGCCGACCGCGCGCCGCGCCTGGCGCGACGACCCCGCCCCCAAGCGGCCGCTGCGCGAGCAACTCTGCCGCCACCGGCCGATCGCGCAGTCGGCCGACTCCGGCATCGGTGGCGACGGCAGTCCGCCGCCGCCGGCGGAGCCCGAGCTCGGGGCAGGGCGAGAGGAGGAGGAGGAGGATATGGCGCCGCTGGCCGCGTCGTCGCCGGCGGCGCTGCGGCGCTGCTGGACGCCGGCCGAGGACCTGGACGCCAGCAGCGGCGACGATGTGTGCGAGGAGGCGGCCGGCCGCGGCCAGGACACGCTGCCCAAGCTGACCTCGAGAGGCGGCATGTTCGCCGGTCGCGGCGAGCCACTCGGCGCCGGTGGCAGCCTCTTCGATAGCCGGCGTCGCGAGCGAGCGCGCGTCGGCGGCGTCTGCGACGGCGCGGGCGGCGCGGCGCCATCGACGCCGACGTCGCCCGGCGACGAGTCGGCGCAGTCGCCGTCCCATTCGCTCGATCAGAACTGGATGCTGAGTCGGAGCGTGCCGAGCTCGCTGAACGCCGAGCACGAGGTGGCCGACGCGCCGCGGGGCGCGGCCGGCGCGAGATCAGACGTGGGCGCGCCTCCTGCCGGCCGCCACATCATGTACCTTCCCGAGTACCACTCGATGAAGGTGTCGCGGGGCCGCTCCGTCTCGCCACTCGGCCGCGAGGCCGACGCCAGCCGCTGGGCGGTGCGCGGCGCGAGCGTCGAGCGCCTCTCGCCGGAGAAGCCGCCTCGAGGCTCGCTGCCGGCCGGCAGGCGCAAGTTCGCCTTCCAGAGCACGCTGCGCCTGATCGAAAAGAAGAAGCTGGAGGCCCGACTGAGCCGCGAGGCCGAGGAGAAGGAGCAACGCCGCCGACTGGAGCAGGAGGCCATGCAGCGTGTGGAGAGCGAGTTCCGCCAGAAGAGGATCCGCGAGAATGAGGAGGTGCTCCAGAAGCATCAGTTGCGCATCAAGGAGCTGGAGGCATCGCAGGTCCCGCAGACCGATCTGCCGGTGCACAAAGCGGCGGCCGACGCCCACTCCGCCAGCTCTGACGTCACCTCGTCAGGCTCCGCCAGCGACATGGGCTTCAGCTCGCACAAAGAGTCTCCACAGTCCAGCCCGCGCAGCGCGTGCGACTCCTCGGCGCTGCCGCACTTCCAGCTGCCGGCGCGCCCTGGCGGCGGCGGCGCGGGCCTTCGCCGCGACCAGACTGACCTCTGGGAGCCGCCCGAGTGTCCGCCGCCCGACTACGGCAGCCTGCCACCGCTGCTGGACCAGATGCCTGTGTCGTTGCCGCCGCCGGCGCCGGACCTGGCGCCGTCGCCGCCGCAGCTGACGGCGGTGAAGCAGTCGAGGCCGCGCTTCTTCGCCGGCGTCAAGAACTGGCTGCGGGGGAAGAAGGAGGCGGCGCGCGCGGCGGACATGCTGCTCGTGCGCCGGGAGGAGCCAGAGGGCGAGGCCTCCTCCAGCCCGGACCAGGCGCCCGGGGCAGGTCCCCTGAGCCCGGCGCACTGGGGTTCCGATGCGTCTCGGTGGTCGCACGGACCGGCTTACGGCCGGACCGCCACCGGCAGTCTGGTGAGTCGGCAGGCGTCAGCGTTTCCGTGGCGACGTGCGGAGGCGACCTCACCTCATTAGTCAGCCGAGCTTTGATCGCCAGTTGCTGGCGGGGTCGGCGTTAGTGATCCCCGTTTTGGTCTGTTTGAATGTGTGACATATTCCAAGGGAATGTCATCCACAGTTTCACAGCGAAGCTCAATGGCGGCTTCATCACTGCTTTTGTCGAGCCTTTGATGCGCTGACGCTGAGCCTCGACCCTGCGCAGCATAGGGCTGTGACGTCTCGCCTCGTGCATGCCCTCCCTCTCCTGACGTGCGACCCGCCACCTCGCCCATCCCCTGCACCATGACCACGTGCCATCGGCGTGTCGGTAGGCTGGTAGACGAAGCGACGGCCTGGCTGGCCCGGCCGGACTGGGCGGCGCCGGCCGGCCCGACCCCGCACTGAGCCCGGCCTCCCACGCCGGCTCGGCCGGCCAGCAGCCCAGCAGCGGCTACGAGTCGTCGCCCAGCCTCGACACGTCCAAGCGGCTGACGCAGGAGCTGACCGAGTACCGAGAGGACAGGCGCGAGTACCGCGACTACCGCACCCCGGCGCCCCGACAGCGGTACGCCCAAAGGGACAGGTCAGTCACGCCCCTGCGCCGCCCGAACGACCGCGCAGGCTAGGTGGTGGGCGGCGGCACTCCAGCACGGGTAGCCTCCAGACGGGTTATTTATTCGCGTTGCTGCTCATTAGTAGGGCATTCCACATTCGAAGCGTGCACTAACGCAAATGACTGGAATGAAGTATGACGCGTTATCAGTGTTTTAATCAAGCTTGAGTGGTGTAAGAACGAGTGAGGAACCAGTCAGTAGTCGCATAAAAAGAAGGTTGAATGTAATCAGGGTCAAAGGACCTCGGTGTACACGCTGCAGCGTACGTTGTAGTCCAGTTTTTTATAAGCAAGTTATATATATATATATATATATATATATATATTATATCTATATAAGCGATATCAACTACAGATATTCTTCAACTTTCTGCGATACTCATCTGTGCTTAAGCAATCTCACTTTTCAAAGAGGCGTTTCCATCGATACGGCTGCATGACATTTACAATTTGCCGCCAAATTTAAAACTCAGCAGCCGGTGGCTGTCGAAAACAAGGCCTGAGCCAATTTGAAGTTCACTGACCCCAGTCCTCCGCGGGGCACTCCGACAGAAGTCCTCCGATTCCGGACGGGCTCCACCCCAGCCACCACGGCCGCAAGACTCCCACCTCCGTGTACAGCGAGCCTCCCGGCAAACCGGGCAGGTCACGACAGCGTGCAGGTCAGTCTGGCCGCGGAGCCGCGCAGCCGGGGGTCTGGTAAGGTCCGCTCCGACCCGGGGCTGCTGCCCGGACGTCAAACCAGGGGCAGAGGGAGACGAACTTTGTACTCGCTCAGACCACTGAGTCGCATCGACTAAGCCGTTGAGTTCAGGACACAGGAATGGCATTTCAATGGATGGCTTGGAAACATTTCATGGAAATCTTGCGATGTCATAATGTGATACAGTACGTGCCACACAATTGTTGAAACATTCGCTGTTTTTAGTTTTACTGTATGCTGTTAAGGTCATTTTCAAGGAGCATTATAGGCATAGATAAGACAGTATCATTAACATGTTTCGTTGTCGAGTAAGCAGCAGAAAGGAGAAAGATATAGATGCATCATTATCTCAGCAGCAATCCTTCTCACCGTGGGAAATTTACGAACCACATTTTCGAGGCTGTGCGCTGGCAGTAAAAGAGTTCCTGTTGGGTTCACGGTATTGTGGCGGCCGAGTTGGACAGCGTGCGCCGCCTCTCCCCATGGACATGGCACGACTGACATGTCTGTACTGTCACCTCAGGCGGTCTGGTCGGGTCACACAGCGAGGTTCCGCCCTCGCGCCCCGTGACCTCACACGGCAAACTACCGGCGGGCTTTCGCCTGGGCGCTGCCCCGACCCCGCCTCCGGGCCTGCCGCCGCCGCCCTGAGCGAGAATGCCGGACCCCCACCAGCCTGATGGGCAGCGAGCGGACCAGAGCCGCCAGGTGAGACATGGAACCAGGGCGCCAGGGGGCACGCGGGACAGGGGCTCCAGGGGAGACGCGGGGCCAGGGGCGCCAGGGGACACACGGGAGAGGGGCGCTAGGGGTGACGCGGGACCAGGGGAGCCAGGGGACACATGGGACAAGGGCGCCAGGGGTGACGCGGGGCCAGGGGCGCCAGGGGACACACGGGAGAGGGGCGCTAGGGGTGACGCGGGACCAGGGGCGCCAGGGAAGACACGGGACCAGGGGCGCCAGGGAAGATACAGGACCAGGGGCGCCAGGGGAGGCGTGGGACCAGTGGTGTCAGGGGAGATTTGGGACCAGGAGCGCCAGTAAAGACACGAAACCGGAGGTACATTGGGCTACAGATGAACACGGGTGTCATGTGAGGCGCAGGTGCCAGGTGAGAACCGGGGGATTAGTTCCGGGGGGGGGGGGGGGCACGAGAACGAGGAAACAAGAGGTCGTCTGCCCCGTGACTGCTACGAAGCCAAAAGAAAAGTGGCGTTTTGAATCTACTGAAGGTTATGCCCATCCGGTGTCATTCTGCTACACAATGGAGATCGGCCTCTTCATAGCTTAGCGCGTGACCACATAGTGGCAGCTCTGCGACCGTTGCTGGCCGAATTACGGTTTCGGTGCATTTCGGCAGATTTTGGTGTTACAACGGGCGCGTGAGGCTCCGGTTCCAACGATGACAACGACTAACACCTGTCGTAAAACAGCCAAAAGACCGTCATCGTCGTGCAGCGACCGGACATGGACTCCGTGACGGCACGTGGCGCGGCCGCCGCCACTGCCTGACCAGCGCGTCGTATGCCCTCCCGCAGGACGCAGCGGCGCCTGCAGGGCTTCCAGCGGAGTCTCTCGCACCACGAGCTGCACTTTCGCGAGGCGCGGCCGCGCCCCGGGCCGGCGCCGCACCCCGTGGGCCGCGGTCGCAGCGAGGAGCGGCTGGACGGCGTCCGCTGGCGGCGGCCGGCGCCGGCCCGCGCCGCGCCCCCGCCGCCCGCCCTCCCGCGCAGGGTCAGTCGGTATCCGAGGCCGCGCGGATCGCCACGCGGTGATGGTGGTGATGTGATGCGGTTGCGGTGGGTAGAGGCGCGCTCCTTCTGTCGATGGTCGCTCCATTCGTAGCTCGAGATATATCGCAGGTCTTTAGCTTTCGGGCTCGGATATCTGTATTGAACACATTAAACACATCCGAGCATACTTGTGCGAGACAGCTGCGAACCCAGCGCACCAAATGGCCCATGCAGCCGACGCGCTCTATGTCAATCATCACCATCCCCTCCGATCCCACGATGTGCGCATGCGCATATTGGCACCGGCACTGTCACCGAGGGGTGACTCGCCGGCCTGACGGCTGACACCTGCGCCTGTTGCAGGGCTACGTCCCGCGCTACATCAACAACAGCCCCGCGCGGTTCATGCACGGCGTGGAGCACGCGCTGCTGGCGCCCGGCCACCGGCCGCTGGCTATGCTCCCCCCGCGGCCCGCCTCCGCCTTCCCAGCCTGAACCGGGACGCGTGAGCCCGCGCTCGATGTCGGCCACTCACGCCTTGTCGGCCATGGTCCGCAGCTGCGGGGTCGGGGTGCGGGATCGGACGCGTGTTCGGTGACCCGTGCTCCGCGCTCCACGCGCATCGCACGTTGCAATTCTTGACTCAGGGTCGGCTCCTGGCGACCAGGGGCTGGCTGATGGCCGTGGCTTGTGCAAACCGTTGACTCGATGCGAAGCAGAGCACCACCAGACGCGAGCACCAGGTCGCCACCGCATCAGCAGAGTCGATGCGTCTACGGCGCCATCTTGGCCGGTCGGTGCGCCACCTGCGTACCGACGTGGTTAGTAGCGACACCTACATCGGACGGCTCCGCGCTATGCGGCAGCTCACGCCCGCACACGCCGGCAAAGGCTGCTGTATATCAGGTGTCGGTGCCCGGCGCTGCCAACAAGGGGCTTAACCGGACAGAGGAGCCGCCTTGTTACACAACAGCTGTGGTCATATGGCCTTGCAAATGCATGGTAAAAGATAGTAGATCGGTCACCAGCTAGGCTGTTGGCCGGAACGTTTGGAGGCTTCTGCACTACTGATGTCGCACGCGATGCGTTTTGATCTGCACTTGAGTTGGTGACCTACGCTGAGTGTTGTTCATTGTTGACGTGTGTCAAGCTGTGGCAAAGCTGTCCTTAGTCACATATGAGCACCCAAACGATTCGTGCGCGACTGTTTGGATGCGACTGTCTGCCGTGTGCTCTTTGAAACAGCCTTTCAAGTGTGGCTTCCAAAATGCGTTATAACTGCTTGTTCTGTCTAGACCGCTTTGAAAATAATATGCCGGCGTCTGCGCTAACAGAGGCCGACATTCCAGGAGGTAGGAGAAGGGTGCACTGCGGCGTCAGAATAACACGAACTGATCAAAATCACGGGTTGGGAGCACTTCTGTGTCACGGGGCTGCGCCGGCTAAAGGAAGTGCTTTCACATGGATCTGATATGCACCAGTTGGAGCAGTTGGTGCACCAGTCGGAGCAGCTGTGTGCTGAATGCTTAGCTTTTGATTGGTGATGAATCTCGGCGACAGAAATAGCTGTAGTATGTATGTCTATTGGTTTGTGTGAACTGACGCAGTTCATGGCAAGCCTTTGAGGAATGCTTGCCTGTTGTGACGATGTGTGTCGCTGCCCCATGAACCTGATCTGATGTCTGATCATCCTAATCCGATGTCTGTTGTCTGATGACCTGATGTCTGATCTGATGTTGGCGACTTGCTCAGAAATAAGGTTTAATACATGGAGAGTCAACGTCACCACCGTTACACGCCAGGGTCAAGGGGTAGTCAGTAAGGAACATAGTATATGCCGCACAGCCTATATGATAATGTTATTCGAGGCGACCGCAAGTTTTAACATATTCTGATCACTTCATGCCGCAATGTCGCTTTCGTTATATATTCCAACTATCCAGTGCGCGTTCCAAGCGTTGTTCTTGGCGCGTCACCATATTTGAAGTTTTTGGGCTGACTGTCGCTGTTTTAACCCTTAGTTAAGTAATAGCCCTCAAATGCTGCAAAATTGCACGGCCAAAATCAGGGGTTAACCAGGATTTTGTTAAGGGGAGAGGAAGAGGCACGTGACATCGTCAAGGTCACTAAGAGTTAAGGGCTCCTAAAAAAAACTTGCATTGCTGCCATTACATTTTAAGATACTTCGTACCCTATTGTTTACACGCGAGCCCATCTTACTGAGCGCAGCCTTATAAACTAGGTCTCCATGTATTCGCTACGTATGCAAATACATGAAGCTTACTCATTTTCTCCCGGTCATGGTGAATCCTGTCATTTTAAGAGGTACGTTTTCGAAAAAAACATGGCAAAATAAACTAAAATTGGCTGTTTAACACCATCAAAATTAGGCGCAAGCTTGAGTCCTAACGTATATACGGCTAGCCGGCTGGTGCACGCGATCAGCTAATGGCTGATGAAGTTTTCGCTTTATCTTTTACGACGAAGTACAAAATATTCTGGCATTAAAATGTTTTAAGAGCGGGATGCACAAGTAGGTATGATAGGTTTCAAAAACTCAGTAGCTAAAGGATATGA